TGGGCTAATGCCCCGGTGAGGGAAGATCATTTGCCTCGTAGCTATCGAACCCTTGACACCACATTGTAGTAGAAGTAACGGCCGACCCCAGCGCGTATAAGACCATGTTCCCAGGGTCCTCTTCGGATGTCGAGAGTTCTCCTGATCACCTCTGAGCTGGACGGGCGTCTTCCCTTCCAAAACAGTCACAGTTTTTCCGTTCGCCCGCACATACACGGTATCCGGTATCCTCCTTCCCCACACTATTTCCGCTGAGGCAGTGAAAACCAGAAGGTGCGGGGGAGCGGGCGGATAAACTACTCACAGCCTACCGATACTCGACGACTTTCACCACCGGTACTGCGAGCCACAGTAGAGCGAAAGGTGGAACAAGTTTAGGTTAGTTGGGGTGGTTTGGTCTGTCTACTCGTACGAGTACTCCTAGTGTGGTACCGATACCCTATCGGTATCCGGCCTGCAATACTGGTGCATTCGCACATGCGTGTATTTGGTGTCCTGGTGGGAAGAGAGCAACAGGGGAGCTGAGAAAGGACGAGAGGGAAAGGATCGGTGGCGTGTGTGTGTGTCTGTCGGATAAGGGTGGTTAGAAGAGGTGGGCAGATATCATAGATAGGTGGGCGTACAAGTACGAAGGAATCCCGGCTCCGGTTCCATTACCGGTACGAGTAATCCCAACGGTTGTCGCATAGCATTTCCTGCTCGGATCCCTAGTTCGCACGTGCATTATTCCATCGACAGGTTTGTTCAACCAGCAAGCCCTCAAGCAAGGAGGCCCAGCCAGCACCCCACCCTCCAACTTTGGTCACCCATCCATTTCAAGCACAGCACCGGCTACGGCACTCTACGAATAGTACTCGTGCTCCTTGTTCTAGCAACCCAAACCCCAAGCTCCGTCTTTGTCCTTGGTCTTCACATGTGCTGCTGCCAAACTGCCTCCCCCCACGTCCTTACTCAGTCCTATCCACAATCATTGTTTTGTCGTCTTGCCCCTACAACACCTCTGCCTCGCAACACTCCTCTCTCCATCCCCTCCACACAGCCTTAGCCGTTCTGCTACTACCTACATTTTTTCTTTTCTTACGTGCTTCTTTAATACTCGCAAGCTTTCTCCCTCCACCATCACCCCCTCCACGATAGTTGCAAAAAAAAAACCCCTCCATTCACCATTCCTTAGCCGGTAGCAGAGCCGCCCATCATGTGGAAACCAACGCAGGCCTTGATGGACACCATCACTCATTATAGCCAGTTTCCTGCTACTGGTGTGAGTTTGCGACAGATGGTGCAATTCGGACGGAATCCATCCGCTGGTGAGCTCGAGGGTCCGAATGTGCGGCGTTGGAAACCACAACTTGTTGACTTGAGTCGGAAACCAGGAACACTATTTAAGGCCTCACAATTTTTGAGTGAAGAATTGCCAATCCGTTTGGCTCACAGGGTGAGGGAGTTGAATCAATTGCCTGATGGATTGAGTGAGATGCCCTCCATTCAGAAAGTTGCCAATTGGTATATGCAGTCATTTGAGGTTGGTGATTCATGGTCTATAACTTGCTCCCCGTTCGTAGGTTAACACTGCAACAACAACCGTAGGAGATCACTAGCCTTCCGAAACCCGTCCTTTCCCGAGAAATACGTGAAAAGTTGATGCGAAGAGAAAATGGCTCGCCCATCCCTTTAGAAACCGGTCTCGCCAACCCTGATATCGAACCCGCAGCTTACCGAAGTCCACCGTGGCTAATTGCCACCAATACTACTGGCAGTGTAAGGAAGGCGCAAAGGTGATTTCCAACCCTACTCCCCTACTCGTAATGTCAAAGCACCCCACAAGGTGGACTACTATTGCACACCACCTAGATTCACCCCAAAAGGCCAAACCTTGGTACCATTGTGTGCACTGGCAGTTTTTCCTAAAAATCCCCGGGCACATTACAATTAACCAAACTCCCTCGCTGCGCTGGCTAACGTTTAACAGGCGATACTATGCTACAGTTGACGACGGAGTGAGGTGGCCGCCAGAAATTGTCGACTATAATAAGCGTTTCACTAAAATTTTACAAAACATTAAGCATCGCCATGATCCCGTTGTTACAACCATGGGTATTGCACTTTTTCAAAGCTAACACCGAGCCTCACACACAAGAATGCAAGCGCTAACTTGTGTAACTTCATGCAGCGATGGGAATCAACGAGTACAAGCGGAAACGGCAACGGATGCAGATCGACAACTCAATCCAATCATTCCTGGACCGTTTTTACATGTCTCGGATAGGGATTCGCATGCTCATTGGCCAGCACGTCGCACTCAATTCCGCTCCTGAGCAAGAGGACTACGTGGGAATTATTTGCACAAAAACCAATGTTCGCGAACTCGCACAGGAGGCTATCGAGAATGCCCGCTTTGTCTGCGAGGATTATTACGGACTGTTTGACGCTCCCAAAGTGCAGTTGGTTTGCAAGTCTGATCTGCACTTTATGTACGTCCCGGGACATCTGAGTCACATGCTATTCGAAACTTTGAAAAACTCACTCAGAGCCGTTGTGGAGACACACGGAAGTGACGCTGAGGAATTCCCGCCGGTCAAACTGATTGTTACGGAAGGCAAGGAGGTTTGTTTGGTGACATGACTGTATTGGTGTTATTTATGCTTATCGGTTCATAGGACATCACTATCAAAATATCCGATGAAGGAGGTGGGGTCCCGAGGAGCGCCATACCCTTGGTCTGGACATATATGTACACAACCGTAGAATCGACCCCGCCGATCGACCCAGACTTCAACAAGAGCGACTTCAAGGCACCCATGGCTGGTTTCGGCTATGGATTACCAATATCAAGGTTGTATGCAAGATACTTTGGTGGAGATCTGAAGTTAATAAGCATGGAAGGGTGAGTCACGGCCCCCCAAATACAGGATCAACACTGAGAGTATTATGAATAGGTACGGAACAGACGTATATCTCCACCTAAACAGACTAAGCAGTTCCTCAGAACCCCTCCAGTAAATTTACCAAACGGAACCACACAAAACGGGCGATAGCATGATAGCGGCGTATGGGAAGTTTTTCTTTTCTTTTCTTTGCTTTCTCTTTACAATTCTTTGCATTTTTGCTTGCATGATCTGCATGATCCATATTTCATTCTGGGGGCTTTCTTCTCTTCTCCTTCATTTTACATCTCGCTTTCTGGCTCGCTTTAGTCAATTGATCGATCACATTTTTCACCTTTTTAAATTTTCTGGGCTGGGTGGCGACGGCATTCACGGGCGCTGCACAAAGCAGGTAATCGTAAAGGGGGGTAGGGAATGTACGGTAGTAGTAGCAGTAGTTCACATTTCATCATTTCCGAAGATTCATGAAACTATGGTTACGGTGGTGGGGTGTATTGGGTGGATAGTTGGCAATTGTTACGGTTTTAAAATAATGGGCATTGTTGCTTTCTCTTTGCTCCCTCTCCTCTGATGCATCAAGTCCTCATTTCTATTGTGAGATATGTTGATAGTGCCGGTACTATACTCGATGAGATTGAGACCGGGGCGTTCAAGATAGTCTAATACCATACACAGTGACTTGAAAGGAGGTCTGAGCATGATGCTGCCGTACTTTTTAAGTGATCAATGTGAGCGTAAATGGAGTGGCGATATGTGTCTTCCGAGAGGTCCTCTGGGCGATGAGGAAAGATCACTCAATACTATTAGGAAAAATGATCTTCTGGTCATTAGATCGATCGACACCCTCAAATACCGGTACTCGTGCCAAGGTTGTGGCACAGCCACAACCCACGGCAGCTCGCTGGCTCGCAACCGTGGGCACTTTCAAGAGAGTGCCCGACAGCTCAATGGTTCTTGACAACTCAACGGTCCATTCCTGGTTGCCATGGCAATGCCCTAACTTTACACAATAAGACTATTCAGCAGCACATGAGAAATTAAGAATACAGAGAGATGAATTAGAATAGAGTATAATTTTGATTTAAATATACTATCATGAGAATACAGCTACTCTATATTACATTGATTTTTGCAGCCTTGATTGCTGCTTAATACCCTTGATTATTAGTCTGGATATTTTCTTTTTATATGCTAGCATAGTATGTCTGTCTTTGACATACATTTTCATCTCAGTTAGTAATGGTTTACGTTCAGCATGCTTAGCTTTTTTCTTTGCATATTGTGCACATCTTAACTGGTTTTCAGCCTTTTCAAGCTCTGCATCCTCTTTTTTTTTAACCATCTGTCGTGCATCTTCAGGATATATAACTCCACCTTTTTGCACTTGTTGTCTATTTTGACCCTTTCACTGTGCACTTCTTACTTCCTCAGCTGCTCTGGTATTTTCCAGATGTTCCATAGCTAGGGCTTCAGACTGTGCTTGAGCTAGTCCACCCTGTAAGACTAGCTTCAGCCTGTACTGAAATGTAGGAGAAAGATCTGCTGCCTTGTGGAGTAATTCATCTCCCTGTCTTTTAAGACTTTGGATTGTAAGTGGTATAGTAGGAGAGCTGATAGGAGGAGGGGTGACTGGTTGCTGAGGAGAAGGTTGAAACTCACGCAACTTGGTAAGTACAATATTAGGATCATAGGTGATTAGACCAGTTACTCGGAATGAGGAGATAATTGTTGATTTTTTGAATGCGTACTGTCGTATAGAATCAATATGGTCTAAGAATTCTATTTTGTCAAACACTCCACACCCAGTATGAGTTGCTGCTTCTACTGCCTCCGCATGGTAATGCTTATAGGGTTGAAAAACAACCACATCTAAAGGCTGCAATAAGTGGCTCGTATGAGGGGATAGGCAGAAGACAACAATCTTATGCACATCACAGTAGTCAATAAACTGCTTCGTACAATGTGAGCTGAAACCATCCAGGAGCAGTAAACGATATTCTGCCACTTGACGTTGAGCAGAAAACTTTCGAAAGTGGGCTAGCCACATCATCGATAAATAGTCATTACTATAACCAGTCTCAGAAGTACCAATCAGGTAGTTGTTAGGTATTGAGGTAGCTGTGTACCAAGATTCCTGGTGAATAACACCAGGAATAATAATCATGGGAGGTAGAATACACCTATCGCCACTAATTGTTTTACAAACTGAAATTAACTGACGATTAGTGGAGCTGCCCCGGTATGTTTGATGATTTGGATCTTGGGTTATAATCTACTGGTCACGTCCAATGCCTATACGGAATCTAGTTTCATCAAAATTATATATATCCTCCTTTCGAATCTGATACTGATGACAAACAACATGGTACTTCTCAAACCAGCTTTGTATATCATCTGGATGATGGGCATTCTTGCAGTCAACGTCAATAGTCTTTTGCTTGCACACATAATACTCAGGATAACGATTAAGAAATCTCTGAGCCCAATATTTGCTGACTGTTAGTGCAGGCAATACTCCGGTATAAGCATTTTGTAGAATTTTATTAGCACATCCTGATACCATCTGGAGCCTGGCACTAGTTCCAATATTGTCAAGCCTGTCCAGATACTGACATACAGCAGCCTCTTAGTCTTCTGTAAGCTTGCGGTTTGCAGCTGGACGCTCTAACTTTGATTGTCGACCCTGCCAGCGTGTACGAAGTCGTTGTAGTGGAATTTCATATCTCATGGCTGTGGATGCAAGGTCAGGATTGTCTTTACCAGTTGTATGAAGAAAAGATATAGCAGCCTGAATGCGGGCTTCAATATCGACATAAGGTTCACAACGTTGACTTGGAGGAATAAGCGCCTGCTCTGATACTGACTGCATAAGGGATGGAAACTTGAGGAGAAATCTACTAGGCTATACCATGTTAACAAGTTGGAGAACTAGAGAGAGTGGAGGAGTCTATACATAATATGATAAGAAATTTGCAAAATGAGTAGAAAAGCGAGTGTGAAAGTATTGGTGAAAGTAAATGGTACAATATTAGAGGCAGTCTATCGTAAAATTGTGAAGAGGAGGAGTGTGAGAGTGTAAGAGAGAGGTATAAATAAACAATTGAGCAAGACAGTCAGGATATAATTAGCATGGTTTTGGTGAAAGATACTACTATAGAATTGGTTAATCTACAAACTAAATAAGCAGTTGAATAGTATATAGAATACTGATAGTTCATTCACTTCAAGTTGTACAATAATATTGAGAACCATATTTCTATAGCAATCAGCAATGGGCTATTGAGCTTTAAAAACCCATTGGACAAACAGTTACTCACTTGCAAGTACTCACAGTGGTGAGCCAGTAAGTTGATATGAGTTGTGGCTGTGCCACAACTTTGGCCCAAGTAGCAGAATTCTCAATATAGTAGATTCTATTGAGAATTATACTCTATTCTAATTCATCTCTCTGTATTCTTAATTTCTTATGTGCTGCTGAATAGTCTTATTATGTAAAGTTAGGGCATTGCTATGGCAATCAGCAATGGACCGTTGAGCTGTCAAGAACCATTGAGCTGTCGGGCACTCTTTTGAGAGTGCCCACGGTTGCGAGCCAGCGAGCTGCCATGGGTTGTGGCTGTGCCACAACCTTGGTACGAGTACTGTACCCGTAGAGTACCGCAGAATTCCATAAATAAGGCATGCGCCTTATTCAATATTTGTGGTAGGAGGAAGGGTAGTTAAGGTTTAGGGTTACCTACAGAACCAATAATCTGTGATGTAGACATCATAAGTAAGTAGAGTGAGCAAAAGGTAAAGATCATGAGAGGTAGGAGAGTATCATACAGACAGTTTCTGCTTCCCAGAAAGACAAGAACTTTTACTTTCATAATTCTATCATAATGTCATTTCCACGTTCACAATTATCATTTCAAGGGGCTTGGTTACCTCACCAAGGTCTGGCTCCAATACCTGTCAGTACACAAACATGGCAGCTATATCCTCGTATTCCTCAGGCTATTGTGAATCTGGGATTAGCTGAGAGACCAGTTTTAGTGGAGAAGCAGTCTGTTAATCCTCTGATTGAGATTGTAAATCCAGCACCAAATCCTGAAAGTAGGAAAAGATATAGGAGTATGGTTGAAGGAAAAGTGAAGAAGCGAGGAACAACAATTCAGGAAGAGAGATTGGAGGCTTTGACATTTCTAGAAAATGGTTGAGAATGGTATAAATATTTAAATAATATTTATTTATAGTCAAACTATTGGTTGTATTTTCTCACAACTAATACGATTAATGGTTATCAGGTAATATGATTCTTCAACACGTATCAGTTCGCCGAGCATCTACAATTTTAGGCTACAATGAGAGCCAGTTATGGAAGTGGAAGGACGTAGAGAAGAAAATTATTAATACCAATGAAAGTACATGTAATATTGGCACTTTTATAAATATTACTCAATTAAGAGAGTATTAAAAATACTAAATATTAATAGGAAGTGGCCTAATACCCTCATAACCAAAGATAGAGCTCTGGCTTACTGCATTGTGGCAAGAGGAAGTAAGTAAAAGTTCTGAGATTACTCGAAAGTAGTTTGAATGGCATGCACTACAAATCTTCGAAGAGAAGTATCCAGAGGAGGTTACGATTGTGAAAGGAAAGAAAATATACTCTTGTCAACACTTAAATGGTTGGTTTTGAGGTTTTAAAAACAGATATAAAATTTCCTATTAAGCTCCAACATCTTAGGCACAACATACCCTAATTGAGTATGAGCAAACTGCTTTTCAAGTTTTAGGCTTCATTAGATTCAATTCAAAACAATGAAATGGGGAAGAAATTCAAACAATTGGGTGATACAATTCTTGTTCTATCTTCATTGTTGATCAAATGGCCTTGCCTTTTGACTTTTACTAAATGCGTACCTATGCTTCACAAGGAATCAAATCAGTTAGAAAAAAGATTGCTACAAAATTGTAGACTAAATGGCAAGCCTTACTGATGATTTTAATTGCCACCAATGGGCTTCCTCACCGTAAGCCACTTCTGATGTTCCAGGATGAGGGAAAAAGGACAAATATTCAAAAAGAATTATACTTTTATTTGACTAGGAACTGATCATTTCCATACCAAAGACGGTGGTCTTGGATTTCTTCAACTTCCCATTCATCCTTTTTATCAATAATGATAGCTGCAGGTCGAGAGTGGATTCTTCCAGGGAACTTGGAGTCCTCATTTGGGTAGAATTGCTTGATAGCAGAGGCGTGGAAAACTGCAGTATTGTGGTGGTACATGCATCCATCCATCTGGACAGTGTAATTCTCTGTATGCTTGTCAAATGATAAGACCTTGAAGGGTTCTTGCCATCGGGGTTGTAGTTTCTTGCTACGTCCAATATTGGTAATGAACATGTTTCCATGTACCATGAGCATATCACCTGGTGGAATAGGGACATGTTTGCATCATTGCTTCTGAGCAGTAGTGGTGCTTTGGAATAGGGCAGCTTTAACAGCTTGGAAGGCATCATTCCGAATTGCTTGATGGCGATTTAGGTGGTCATTGGAGGCAGGGACTGA